TAGATAAACTTGAGAAATGAAATCATCATCATTATGRATAAAAGACACATTTGGATTAGAAACCAACTAACCATCGCAATGTTTTCCGTCAGCATTGAGTATGAATCCACTGTGACATTCACACGTGTGGTGGCTTTGGTTGTTGATACATCGATGTTCGCACCCGTGGTTATCATCAATGCACTCATTTCGTGCTACAAAATAAAGCAAAACGAACCAAAATATTAACAAACGTCATAAATGTTTCATAAAAAATCTAAAACTATTTGAAAAATACTGCAACCAAAAGTTATTTGGCAAGAATTTGGAAGGGAATTAAGTTAGTGATGGCCAAGTTCATTCAGTCACTTAAACCAAAAGGGCTGTTCAAATTAAATGGATAAAGAGGAACGGGATATAGAGAGAGATATGTTAGGGGGACGGAAAAATGAAAGGGAGAATACTTGGAATGTCGTTAAGATGGAAAAACTGGGCTGAGTGTGCAATGCAGTGCATTGTGGGATTGTTTTAGGGGACAAAATAGACGCCATCTAGGAAATGTCCCCTAAAACRGCCCCACAATGCACTGCAATGCCAACTCCACCCAGTTTTTTCCTCAACCTCGGAATAGCTACTTCAGTGCTGTTGGTTACCTTCGCAATCTCTTCCATTGATTGCCAGCTTGTAGTCTCGATGACACATACAACGATGTCCACCATCTTTCAAGTTGATACAGAAATGTTGGCATCCGTAATGACCAGCAGTACAGCGAATGATTTCTACGAGGAAGATAAAGTTGAAGTATTAACTTAAATATGTTTTTAGTAGCGCCTTCTTGGTAAATTATATGTAATCGTTYTTATGACCAGAACATCATATAAACGATAGACTTCAGCCATCTATTTAAATTATAGTACGTATTGCACTGGGCGGGTAACTCACTATTCAAAAATCATGGGTCGTAGCGATTTTGTAGCAGTAGAGCTCTGGCCCATGTCATTTAAAAATGCATCGTTTTAAATGTTTTCATAACAGTTGAGCCGTGTCAAGCCCAACGTCAAGCAAGGTGATGAAACGMCCTAAGATATTGTCACAATGCGGACAGAAAAGATAACAATAACAATAATTATCTTTATTTATCGAGTGTAGCACATTACAGTTTACACTGACAAACCTGTGGCCCTCAAAGGATGGAAAAATAATAGGCTAAGCTGGCTGCATTTTCTCCTAGCCTGTTATATATATATTTTTTTTAAAGGGAAGAATGAAGATTTACGGGCTTTTRGACTTACCCTGGAGGTCTGCTCCACTTTCCGCCGCGTGAAGAGACGCAATAGTGTTCAGGTCTTCAGAAGACAAATGCGACATAAAGGTCTCAAGTTTGTTATCGTGATGCGCCTCACTCTGACTACCACTACTTTYTTTGCCATGATGATCATCATGAGACTTGTGTTTCTTTGGATGGTTTATATGGTGATCTTTATGCTCGTCTCCATGGTGATGAGTATGATGGTGTTGACTCGGGTGTTTCTTTCTATCATAGTGGTTTCTATCTTTGTCTGCAGTCTTYTGTTTGTGGTGTGTTGAGTGGTGTGGATGTATTTTTTGGTGGTGGTGATGATGAGTATCTGCAATTTCTTTCTCCTTTTCATCTTTGAAAACAGATGAAAATATTAATATAATATTAAAAATAATATGTGTGTGATTTACGATTTTAAATTTACAATATATTGTACAGTTTACTGTTAAGAATAGAATTTCCCCCACCGAAGCGTTATGCAAAAGTTGTTTCAAAAAGATACTTGAAATATTTTWAAAATGTAATTTATCTTTATTGGTCAATACCTTCAGCATGTTGATGATGCTTCTGATGGTTTTCTTGATTATTCGTTGTTTTAGCGGTCGTTTGGTGTGTCGTAGCAATAGTACTGATTGGTGTTGCTGTTGTTGGTGCTGCGTAAGTTGACGGAGTGGCCACTTCGTTTGAAACACTTGGTTTTTCTWAAAAAAAGTAGACAATTCAATATTCAAAGTATTATGCTAAGGTATCGTAAGTAACAGAGTGGGCTCACAATAGTCATGTCGTATGGCAGGAGAACTGCAAAACGATGGCACGAAAAAATATTTTCTAAAAGTCAAAACGGCCGCCTCGAAACCCTTTTATGATCGAGGTAATCGTTGCCTTATGATTGGTTATTGAGTTGACAAACACCGGGGAATCACCGTTTTAATATCTAAGCTAGCACTAAGGGCCTTCCGATAACTGATGTTTAGGTGAGTGTTCATGTTTGTTCTGAAAATATCTGTGACTGCCAACATGATCAAGAAAAAAGACTAATTTGTTTCTTTTTTGTCGAATTAAAGAGAATAGTTTTAGAGTTGTCATTGTCCTTGTCGTTAAAATGTCCTRTCACGACTATAGTCTAAAAGATCTAGAAGCTTTCAAGGAATGATCCAGCGACTTACTGTGTATTGTTCCATTGCTGTTGTACCTAATAGCATAAGCAACTGTGGGATTGTCAGCCAGGGGAGAAGATGTCACAACTTGGCAGAGCTCTTCGCTATGGCAACTCACAGAATAACATACACTCTTCAACAGATAAGCCAAATCACATGACTCGTCATCACAACAGAAGCGGGTACACTGKGCCATGGTTATCACCTTTCCTCTTTTCGTAAAAACCCCAGCACCAAGATCACCACGTAGTCTGACATTCAAAAAGTAGTTGCCGGCTTCGCATCGTAGTTCTGATGTTTTCGTGGCATTCTCATCTCCCTCTGCGCCTGGGATGGTGTTAGTCTTGGACGCAAACATCGGTATAGGTTGGGCTGTCGAGAGTATATCGGAAGTCGACCCTCCAACTTTGGCTTCGTTGGCACTGCTGAACATAGCTATTCCATTTCTGCTGATATACACCACTTTCGAAGTGAAAGTATTTTGCTCTAGAGGCCTCGTTCTGCAAAGATCGCGGCTGTAACATTTGATCGTGTAGCAAACATCGTGGATGACAAACGCCACGTTACAACCTCGGGAATTGCAACATTTTGCTGCACAGACATCTATGTCTGATACGTYCTTATGCTGTGCAACTTCCCCAGAGCCCATACCGCCATTCAAGATTACGTTGTTGATCCTAAGGCCTTGAGAACAGAGACGGTTGCTGTTTGTTGGTACTGGTGAAGTAGCGCTTTGTATTTTTCCAAGGGCGTCAAGTAGGAATGATCTTGTGGTTGGGGAATTAGTTGGCTTGACCTTACCAAGCAGTTCCTCCAGGGAAGGTTCTTTGGTTGTTTGTGGTGCGGTGGTGGGAGTAGTAAGTCGATCTTCTGAAAGATATCAATACATTATGAATAAGAAAGAAAAAAGAAAAAA